CCATATAGTCTCCTATTAATACCGTAGATAAATGTTTACTTTCCCGTACATGTAAACTATACGGCATGTAGTTTAGAAACCCTGGATGCAAGTGTAACGGCAGGTCGGGCTCAAAATTATTCGGGGATTTGAAAAGTTTCTTAAAACAAAATTATACTCTTCTTTCGAGTAGAAAATCGGGAGAAGACATAGCTTTCTACGAATGAGCAAGAAAGCGAATAGTTTTATGCATGTTCTCTATGAAATATAATTGAATTTTTAAGGGCATTGAAAACGATGAGATAATTACGTGCTACTTAAGTAGTCATTTTTTGCAGAGTATAGTCTTGCATGAAGTCGGAAATAAGTTCATTCGAAAGCCGACACCCTGCAGTAACTGGATCACTATAAAATTATGCTGCAAGATGATAAGTTTTACAATCTTTCTTAATTAATCTTTTCGGAACGAGGACGCAATTTGGAATTTCGGTTGACGTTTCATGAGTTAGCCCACCTAGTGTATTCTGCCTAAATCACGCGCCGCTGTTTGGAAACTGGCGGGGCTCTAGAGAGAGAGTCCCAGCGCAAAACGTACGGGTGAGTTCCATAGCGCGAGTGCCCTCCTACCAGTGTCGAAAAGATCGGAAGCAGGGGAGGACTCAGATGAGTGGCGCGGCGGAAACCCGCACCTAGGCGTGACACAGCAACTCCTGGTCCACAAGGATTTTATAACATAAAAAGGCAGGACGGCTAAGATCCTAATTGGCACAGTATACGCCTGCGCCTGTGTGGACTTCTAGACGTTTAATATTAGTTTTTTTATAGGTACGCGTTCCCCAAAAACGCCTGCCGGGCTCCGGTCTAGCACCCATGTTGGTCCAGCGCCTCTACCACATGGCCCACCTTAGGGATCCCGCGGTAGATTTATCCTACTTAAACACTGGCACTGGTCAAGAGCCCAGACACGTGCTTCGCCCATATTCTGTCGCTGATTGACACGGCTCAGCAGCCAGTCAGACAGAATCCACTCCGCAGACTTTGCAGTCACGCATCGTGCACACGTCTCTCTCTCTCTCTTGTCTCACAACCCTGACGTTTCAGCCGATCGTTCTCATTGCTGAACTCTGATTTTCTAGATCACGTCTGCGTCCCAAAATGACTCAAAATCGGTGCAATCTAAGTTTTTTAACTCTCATGGGAGTTTGAAGAGCAGTAAACTGATCCGAGTTGAGCGTTTTCGTGGGATACGCGGGGACGCGTTGGTGCCCTGCGGTCCGGCCAGAATTCCATCAAAATCCACATAGGATAGTCGGAGTTCCCATGCATCAAGTAATGAATACGTTCTCCTCTGCCGCTTGTTTTCGGTCGGCTTAGTACGCCCGCGCGTTCGACTTGGCCTTCGGAGTGCCAATCGATATTTTTGTTTTCTATGAAATCAAGTCCGACAAACGTACGCTACAGATTATTCATCATCAGGCCTGCACTGTACTATGAGGGAGGAAAGAAAAGCAAAAAACTTAAATAGCCAATCAACAGTGAGTTTGGGGTGAGGGTTGAGAGCGAAGGAAGCATGGAGTATTTCAAATCAAGGCTCGCGAACAGTTACTACCAATATCTTTAGAGCATAGACACTAAGAATCGGACATATCACCAAAAAACATCTGGAGGAACCCAAAGATCTACGTCAAACACTCATCACAAAGGTGGTCTAAGGTTCTCGTCTCGTTCTAATAAATAAAAGTATGTTAGTTTTAGAAATGGAATGGTAAATGACACTAAGATCAGAGAGGAGAAGCAGAATAAAGTCCATGCTGAGAGCATAGATGTCCAACTCAAAACAATTCTTCGGAAACCGAAAGAGTAAGATTTGTTTAACGAAGAGGATTTCGAATCTCTTAAACCCACAGGCACATTTTCCCAGAGAATATATTATTTTCCAGAGATTCACAGACCAGACATGTGTATTTCACTCTATCATGCAATTAGAAAGCAGCTGGCAGGAAGATATAAGCCGATTCTACACAGAATAGCACCAATTAGTCTACGGGACGCAGTTGAATTTATCGATTCCTTAAGAAATATAAATGGCAATGGAAAAGAATGCTTTTCTTAGATGTCAGGTCTTTGTTCACTGATATTTTTCTCACGGAAACGACTGAATTTTTATGTGACGAGATTGTAAAGCCTGATTTACTAATCGGCGTTCCGGCCGGAGACTTGAAGGAGTTGCTCTTTCGCTGCACATAAAATGTCCGATTTGGATTCGGTGGATAATTTTAACGCATAGGTACCTGATCACTCCTTGTACATCTATTAGCTAAAGCCTTCATGGGACAACTAGAGAAAAACCAGCTGTAACCAATCAGAAGCGACCCTCACTCTTATGTTTGGTATGTCGACATTTTTGCAAAAGCAGACGAAAAGTTTAAAGTGAGCACCCTCCTTGTTAAACTAAATCAGGCTCACCCAGCATTAACCTTAACGCCGAAAAAAGAGAATGGCGAGCGCTTCACCTTTCTGAACGTCCTACTTAATGGAACGCCTGGCTGAACAATTAGTAGAAGTGTATTTCATAAGAAAACGTGGAGAGGGAAATAGACAAATTTCTAAAATTAGAAACGAAGCTTAGCCCGTTGCGTCTTCAGTCGAGCTAGGAGAATATTTCTTCCAGATACACTGGAAAACGAATTCTCCATTATGCAAAACTCTCTGAGAGAAAACGACTATCTGAAAATTTTATCAATTAATTTATAGAAGAACGTCCCCCCATAATCAGACGTGCCGACGGCTGAGTAAAAGTTATTTCGGCAACGGTATAGAGAATGACCCGACTTAACTGTCAGTAGACTGTGTATCGTGACATACGTGATTTATGGTAAAGGAAGTTTTATGGGTGGGGCGGCACGTTAGACGGTAAGCTGAGAAAACGAAAGAAAACACAGAAATTGCCTGGATTTATGCTGAACGTCTTATCCTACACTATTGTACGACGACGGAAATGAGAGTAGTAATTAAACAAGAAACAAAAGGTGACTTTCACAAAATAACGGATTTTGAGTTAAGGTGTGTTGTTTTGGGGGTAATCGTTGTTGGCAGTGTAAGTTCTGCAACAGTCTGCCACTGTTGCCAAAGTAAGGTCCTATATGACACGATCCACCGTCTACTGACAGTTGAATGGGGTCCCTTTCTATACCGTAGCCGTTATTTCCTACACTGCCATTTCCAGGGGATCCGGCGGGTGAACACCTACATCGTCGCTCAGCCGCTGCTATCGCGCGCACGTTCAGTCAGTGACCTAAGTCATGAAATGTGTTGGAATTTACGAATGATGTCCGATTTCTCGCAAACCGACACCATTCCATGAGTCCAATGTCTATGTTAATTAAGTACAAGTTTAAAAGAATCAAAAACATAAAAAATATTATAGGCAGTGTTGCGTTGTTTAGAAATGTCGATTTATTTTGAAAAGCGCAATATCTCGAAAACGGCAGAAATGGCTCTAATTTTGTAAACTTCGTTTTTAGATGTGTAAAATATATTCTCATATCAAACACGTAGTAAATATGAAAGTAGACATAAAGTAACGTCTAATTACAGTGTTTTATTGAAGTTTACATTTAAATTTAGTTTAATAATTAGTGTGATTTCATGACGGTTTGTCGACTGCCCACATTCTGAGTAGGGATTCTAAAACAGTTTTTCAGGGTTTCGTGTTATCCTTGACTCTTTTGTGTAAAATGAGATAAGTTTCAACAAGAGAGACTGGATTTTGCTTGATTTCACCGATGGGGACATGGCAGGAACAAGAGTTTTCATGGGGTCACATGCCATGAGGCCAGTCAGTGTCTAATAAATGTAAATAAAACAGACAGGCGTGATCGTAAACATACAATTTTGTGTTCATAGATAGAACTATTCTTCCGTTAAATCAATTTACACTTTTCGTTCGTTTTGGATTACATTCGGTTTCAGATCGGCCTCGAAATATTACTGAATACTTCATGATTTTCAGTGTTTTCACCCGATCGTCCATAAAGAGAGATTCTGAATTACCTGTATGTTGAGAACTTTAAAATAAAATTAACATTTCAAGTCCGGCTAAATCTGTTTATTAAAATTCTCGCGGATAAAATACTATCCTTCCAATGAAAAAATCGCTAAGATGCGTAACCGTAGTCTAGGACATGTTTTAGCATAGGAAATTGCTCAAATATATTCCAAAGTCCATTTTCGTTAAAATTTACTGATATTTTGCCTGCTATAATTACGTAAACACAATTTCTGCACAAGAAAAGGATGTGGATGTGGATGAATGAACAGAATGCGCAACGTTAAAGAAGTCCAGAAATTTTCGCATCAGTTTCCGTTATCAGATTTCATGAGATAGGTCGCCTACTGTACCTAGCCGTTAAGATTAGACTGGGTTTTACAAACATTCCACATCTTCACCTTGAAGGCAAGGATAGACTGCTCTTTCAGACCTCTTCAATGTACATCTACGCACCCTTACTTGCTCCTGTGTAGCAGGTTATATTAGTCGAACAACTAGGTGCCTATCCAAGCGGGCGCGAGAGCACCATCTGCCTGGCTGAATCAAGGTTGGGGGAAAGTCCATCACTGGCGCAATTGTTGCTCACTTGGTTGACAACGACCACCCGGCAGACGTCAACCAAGCATTCCGAGTCATCTACAAAGTGTCGGCGGGACACTCCAAGCTCCTGTGTCAGCTAATACTTGCAGCGGCAGAGGCAGTGGCCATACGGTTAGCCAACCCATCCTGGTGCACGCATAAAACGTTCTAGAGCTCCCCTGGGTAAAGACAAACCCAGAATGCGTGTTCATACCTGCCATGCCGCGTTATAGCGATGAAACACGGACACCTTCCCCCTCCCCTCTCTTAACCCCAGACAGAGCTAGAATCTGACCATTGAGCTCTGAACGCCCTTCAATCCTCTCCCACCAATATTCACCTTTATTGGATGTTTAACTTTGCTATTCTGCCCTTACTGATGGTGAGGACGATGGTGGTGAAGAAGAAGAAGAAGAAGAAGAAGAAGAAGATGAAGAAGAAGAAGAAGAAGAAGAAGGTGATGATGATGATGATGATGGTGGTGGTGGTGGTGATGATGATGATGATGATGATGATGATGATGATGATGATGAATCGAAAACATACGTTTGTTGGACTTGGACTCTTAAATGGTGGTTTTCTTTTGAAAGAGGACATTGATCGCGGCCCACAACAATCAGAAACCTTGTAAAGTGATATAGAAAACTTTCGGCAAAAGCCTTTTATCGTCCTAAATGTGCAAATCAGACTCTTCCCTGCGAAGACTATCATGCAATTGATAGTGTTCGAAATGAGACGTCTCTTACCAAAGTATCCGGTCACCTTACACGACACCGGTCAAGAGTTGTGCTTTTCTCAACAGAGGTAATCCTGTCTTGGCTCTTGAGCCATTAAATCATAGTCTGCATTGTATGTATTTGAACTATTGATTGAATGGAAGTTTCTATAGAGGTTTCGTTCTAAAAGGCATAACTCTTTTGCCAATATACCACCTATTTATTCTCTGGAGTTTTTGAATCTTCCAAACGAGAGTTTTCTTCATTTGTCTGAACAGCACTGTAACAAAGTGTTGTTCGGATGTTGTCCCTTGTGGCTCACTTGGTCGACAACGACCGCCAGGCAGACGTCAACCAAGCATTCCGAGCCATCAATGAAGTGCCGGAGAGATACTCTGAGTTCCTGCGTCGGCGGATACTGACTACAGCAGAGGTAGTCGCCACACGCTTATTCAGCCCAAATTTCTGCTCACATAAAGCGTTTATGCAGTCTTTGCGAATCCCCTGGCTGAAGCTGCCCTCAGCAAATGTGTTAACACCTCCTTCCACGCCGCTTAACAGCGACGAGACAGAGGTATAGCTAAGTCGCAGACACCTTGCCATTCCTTAAGACCCTGACAGTACTAGACTATGACCCTCTGACCTCTGATGCCCGATACTCACTGCTTATTGGCTATTTAAACTTTTGCTACGCTACCCTCCCTTTCATTACAGGCCTGATGATGAATAATCGAGAGAGAAGGTCTGCCTAACTAAACTTCTTAAATGTTTACACGGGTATCATTAAAAATCCAAAAAATCCAAAAAATTCAAAAATTACTAAAAAATTCAAAAAATCATTAAAAAAATCCAAGTAGTAATTTATTTGCCTGACTCTCTAGACAGACTGCCTACAGTAGATAAGCTAGCTCATAAAATGTTAACCGAGATTCAAAAATGCGCGTTTGTTTTGAAAAGATTATTTAAGAAATACTGCCATATTAATGATCATGCAGAATAGCCCTAGAATATTTCAGTCACCCAAAGACACTGGTTTTTAAATGAGCGTTTATTTAACCGTCTGTAAAACTACACTTTCAAGAAATGCCTAGTTAGGTAAAGTGAATTTAGCACATTGATTCCGATGTCCTTATAAGTTCAGCCATATTTCATAGACAACGGGCACAGAAATATTTATTCTTGTAATCATTTGGTAACACATTACGTCCTTTTCAAATTTTATGCTTGAGGAGAGAGCATCTTTAGACTTTTGAAAACATTTTCAAATCTGGAACAGTTTTTTACTCCACCTGCCGATACATTTTTCTTTAGGTTTTGCGAAGTGAATGCTGAATGCATTCCGTCAAGGGAATATAACTCATTTATCTTCGCTCCAAGGCACATGTCCTATAGCATTCAAGAAATCGTGCGACGGATGTGGACCAACTTGTATACATTATACGTAGCATTAATAAACGTGCCAATGAAATTGTAAAAAGCGGATAATTAGGGACTGTTAAAGACCAAAGGATGCGCTCTCTTCAAGTAGAAGATTAGGAAAATTTGCAGTTGCTACCAAATGAGCGGCAGTAAAATAGTTTTGTGAATAGTTTCTATAAAATAAGTTTGAATTTATAGGCGCATCGAAAGTCACCGGAAAAAATAAATGCTACTCAATAGTCATTTCTCGTTTAGTATACACTAGGTGAGCTAACTCGTGAAATGTCAACCGACATTCTGAAATGCATTTTCGTTTACAAAAGAGAAATTAAGTGGAGTTGTAAAACTAGTTAGCCTGCAAAACAATTCTATAATAATTCAGTTACCTCAGGATGCCGGCGTTTATACGAACTTCCCTTAGAATGCATAAGAAACTACACTCTGTGAAAAAGATTACTTACGTGGCATGCATTTTTCTCATTAATTTTCGATGTCCCTAAAATTCCAATTGTATATCATGGAAAACATACATAAAATATTCATTATTTTGCTCCTTTGATAGAAAATTACGACGTCTTATAATTGCATACTTGAAGGAGGAACATAATTAGGTTTTAAAAACTTTTCATATTCCCGAATAATTTTGAACCCGCTCTACCTTCACACTCAGATTCAGGGTTTCCAAATTACAGGCGCCATATTTCCTGCGTACGGAAAACCACAGATTTCTCTACGGTAATAAAGTTAGACTATGTAGCCTTCAGAAAATTAGGCAGTGGATTTGGTTTATACTGTTAACTTTACAGGCCACAGTGGTAAATACAGAGACATGACTATTTATGAACGGCCATTTCACGATATTTAAAAGTCCCACAATTAGAAACTTTTTAAAGCGGAATTACGTCCCTTCCTCGAGCATAAAATTAGAAGAAGATGTCATTTTCTACCGGATAAACTAAAAATGAATATTTTTTGAATATTTTTCATGAAATATAATTTGATTTTTAGGGGCATCGAGAATGATTGAGAGAAATCCATGCTACTTAAGTCGTCATTTTCTACAGAGTGTAGTTTCTTCATGCAGCTGAAAGGAAGTTTATTCGAAAGCCGGCATCCTGAGGTAAGTGAAATATTATAGAATTATATAGCCGGCTGACTAGTTTTACAACCCTTCTTAATTAATCTTCCCGAAACAAAGCTGCATTTCGGAATTTCGGTTGACAATTCATGAGTTAGCTCATCTACTGTGCTTTCTGCAGACGGCCAAAGAGACGATAACTCGAAACCTGATATTCTGGCGTGACAGATCTATTTCAGAATTATGATGAACGGTAATCCCCTTTGCAACCTAACCTTAGAAATCCTTTCGAACAGAAAACATAATTCAGAATTTCGGTTAATATTTAGTGACGTAACACATCAGCGTTTAATAATGTTTTCGAGGTTTCCCTGGATCCCTCTTCTTGTCTTTGGAAAATTGCATCCGTGTGTCATGTTACAGGAACCACCAGTCCGTACAGATTCGTCACGTTTGTAGCACAAATCGTTTCAGAGATGCTAGTCTCCTGACCGCAGGAGGCCTACTATTACATATAGTATTTATTATAAAAAATAATGTATAAAAACAAGATAGAATGAGATACTGGTGCGTGCATCAAAAATGTGGGCTCCAGGACTCAGGATAGGAGGTTCATCCACGCGAACTATTCACTGGTGGTCATCGGTAATTTTAATTCAGATACTTTGTTGCGTTCAAACTAGCAGACAGTTGATCAACGTTACACAGGGTTCTCGGGGCAAGGCATTTGGATCTGATGACTCATCGTGTGCTTCCCTGCAAATTTAACCTTCCTAAACTTGTGCCCCCACCTGCTTATTTTCTGCCAGCAAAAGCCACTTCTGCAGCCGTTTTGCATGACGGCTCGTTTCCAGGGTCGTCAAGGTCAGGTCTCTTTTATGGCATTGCCAGGTTATTTAATTCCCACAAACACCAGCATCCGAATAGGTTGTGCATTAGAAAAAAAGTGCTGAGTTGACGCCCACGACTCACAGTCAGAGCTGGAGAGAGAACTTGTTTTTATACACTTACCAGCTACCTAATCTGCTTCATATCAACCGCTCCCCGGGTATCCGTCTTCCTGCTTCTTCCGTCAATCATCCTGGACACGATGTGGCCCGATAGCTTCGTCGATGGTCGACTTGGTCAGATCTGGAAGAATCTTAAGCGTCTCACTGGCCATCGCAACACACTGGTGCATGTAGATGCTGATTTAGACTCCCTAAATAAATTTTTTTTATTTAGTCACAATTACTCCCATCATCCCTCAGATGATATTCCCCTATCACCATGTGTCTTTCAACCCCTGTCTGTGGCAGTAGTAGAGGAACACCTTAAAAAGTCCGTGGATCAAATGCTGCCGGACCGGATGGTGTCTCGCCTATTCTTCTTAAAGCTCGTTGTTCTCAGATAGCCCCTATTTTAACGCACCTTATTAATATGTCTTTCATGGAGTCCAAGATTCCTGACACCTGGCATACAGTGAGATTCACTCTCATCCCTAAAAAAACTGCTAATTTTGGTTCTAAATCTTTTCGTCCAATTGCCTGCTCCTCTGTCTTACTAAGGCTTGTTGAAAAAGTCGCCCTATATATTATAATGCTTTTTTTTCCAGTTTTTCCGACCCCCTTAAATTTACATACACAGCCAAACACAGTACATTAGATGCTGTTGCTCTTGTGTTCCACTCTGCTCTAAAATCATTAGACAAGGGTTGCCGCAAGTAAGTGTGCGCTTTTCCTAACTTCTCTTCTGTCTTCAATACCGTCCCGCGCCCTCTTCTCCTTACCAAAACTTCCGCAAGCGGCTCTCCAGGCTGGGTCGTTTCTTGGCTGAGTGATTATTTTACCTTCCGCACCCAATTTGTCGAATCTGGCAAGCGGAAATCTATGGTCCTTCCCAATGACTGTGGTGTTCTTCAAGGTTCCATTCTATCCCCTCACCTTTTTTCCCTCCACACCGACGATCTAAGATCCCCTAACGACTGTCTTTTGGTTAAGTATGTTAATTATGTGGTTGTTGGACACCCTCTCAAAAGTCAGACACACCTGCAGTCTCAAAAAGATGGCCTAAACCATGTCATAGTATGGTCGGAGAAAAATGGTCTCCTAATGAACAACAAAAAATTAGTTCGGCGTATTTGCCAACCGCGGCCCTTTCCTAGTCCTGAATCCTCTGACATTCTTCCTAACTAAGTATCCTCTTTCAGGTACCTCGGCGTTACTTAGTCCTCAAATCTTTCATTTTCCCTTCGTATTGAGTCCCTATTTGCTAAAAATCGCAAACCTTTTAATTACATACGTCGTTTACGTTCCTATCGCACACCTCAACCCTTAGTCTGGCGGTTTCTCGATGCCTACATTCTTCCTCTTATCCTATACTGCTCCCCTGTCATTTTTCCTGCTTTGCTTAGAAAGGTCTTTTAATTTTGAAACGAGT